AACAATAGTGCGAAAAAGTAAATTATTTATGAGAGATTAAGTTTATTTTTCTTACCTAAAACGAAATATGCAATTGATTTTATCGAATAATCAAGTATATTAATACAATATAGCTTATTATACAGGATGTTTTGCAAAGACCACCTTTAGTATGTATTTTTAGATATTACTTAAAAAATGAGAAAAAAGTATACATATTGGGGGTCTTAAATTAATATTCAACTAAGGACAAAATAGAAATGCTGTAGAAATCTTAAAAATTACAGAACAAGAGAGTGAATGTAATAAACAACAAGACAGGTTCGTTTGTTGGATGAAACAAAACGAAGTTAAAAGACGATAATCAGAAACACGTTCGAGTTTTAACCTGCAGTCATACCTGTTTTTATTATATTTATTTTTTAAGTCTGCTTTTCATTACTGTGATTGGTCAGCTTTCGATAGAGATTTTGCTTTTTCCTCAGTTAAATATTTATTTATGACTCTCAGTGTTTACTTTTTTTGTTTCGATTTTTATAACGATTTTTAAAATAACTACTAATTAAGGTTTTTTTTTCAGAAGACCCTGTATGCAATTTGAAAATATTTTAACATTTCGAGACTTTGAGATTTAAGCTAAATAATAGAAATTTTTGTTAACATATTTATTCGTTCAAATATATTCTCTTATCTTAAACTAACAGACATAATGCAACTACGGCAAAACAAGTTAAGAAAACAGAAAAGCAAACTAATTTTTCTCCGCTCTTAATTTAGAGTTTCATAACACTGTCTTCATAAACATCAAAAACCCAATAACTGTTTCAGCTGTCGTAGTAAATAATACGCAGTTATTTCTTGATTGCGAATTTCTTGAGAAAATTGCACTAATAAAGATTTTCCTTTCAAAAAATTTTTAACTTATGAAATCTTTATTATCTTAACGGAACATGTTATGTCTCGTTTGTCAAAATGTCATGTTCATGTTTTGTAAATAAATTAATTTTCGAGCACTTTGCTCAGACTTAAGAAAAAACCAACGACAATTAAAATATTCCATGCAAAAATCATTTATGAAGTGAAGTCATTAAGCAACAGAATGCTTATGAGCGTTTAAAAAAGAGTTACCTTAGTTAAGGCAATTACAAACATCATAACTTTTTTCCCCAAGCAACAAATAATAATAACTACAAGTATTTCCAAAGGGACATACGTTTAATGAAAACTTATAACTATTTCTCACCATAGTATTTAGATGTAAATTTATTTTTTACTAATTAATAAGCAAGTTTTTGGCAGAGAATAAAAGTTTCTTCAAAAAGATGGTTAAAATAACCAAATTATTTTTTTGTTCGGAAGAAGAAAAATTATAACTAACTTTCACATGCAATAAAAACAAAGACGGGGGGGGGGCGGTCGTTGAAATGGTTGCTCCTGACTCTGGACATTAAGAATATTTGATTCCTATTCCAATTTATGCACTTGAAAAATTTTAATCAACTCCAAGGAAAGTATAGACACAATTAATAAGTGTTAATTTCTCCATTTTGCTTATGTATACTTAGAATAAAAGTATATTTAGTAAGGTGTTCTACAAAGACCGGCATTAATATGAATTTTTCAATACCCTGTCAAAAAGTAAAGCAAAGAAGTTTACGCATTTGATTGATTTGTTGATTTGTTCATTTACGTCGCACTAGAGCTGCACAATGGGCTATTGGCGACGGTCTGGGAAACATCCCTGAGGATGATCCGAAGACATGCCATCACAATTTTGATCCTCTGCAGAGGGGATGGCACCCCCGCTTCGGTAGCCCGACGACCTGCCCGCGAAGTCGAGCACTTTACGGTAGAACAGTTTAACGAGGACCAATAGCGCACACCCTCGGTCCCTACGCAGACTGATCCAAGTGGTCACCCACCCGCACACTGACCGCAACCAGTGATACTGACTTCGGTGATCTGCTGGGAAACGCGTCTTAACGATCAGTCCACTGCGGGACTTACACATTTGAAGTAACAAATTTATATTTAAGCATGGATAAGAAACTCTATCAGAATGTGACAAATCCTAGCAGATGAAGGCATATATATCAAACAATAAGGCAAGTTTAATTGCATGAGGAAACAGAAAGATGATTGAATAATGAGAATTATTAGAAACGCCTTCAAGTTCTAACCAACTAAACCTGCTTTTATGTTTGCTACATACACCTTCCTCCATTGTACTTTTCATATTTCGATAGAGCTTTTTTTCTTGCTTAATCATTAAGTTGCGACCATAATGGGTATACTTTTGTTACTTCTCTTTTGATAAAGATTTTAAGAATGTGTATTAGGAGTGCTCATTACGAGATACCCATTTTATATTTTAATCTCAGTTATTAGATCTTAGTCTTTAGAGAAGTAAATTAGATAAGTTAATAAAATTAATTACTTCATTTTTTAGTTAATTAATTTATTAAGAGCAAATTAATTTGTTGTGAGTTATAATGTTTTCAAGTCATAATGTTCCTAAGAGCAATATTTTTGTTCATATAAATATTTGACTGAACAATTTTCCTACGATGAAAGAAATTTGTTTGCTAACACGACCTTAAGTGAACTAATAAACTACCGGATTGAAGATATTTGCAAGTTTTCTACGACTCTGACTCCGCAACACTGAAATAAATTTAAATGATTTGAATTTAGGAAGATAAGAAATATTTGCGTAACATGAAAAACATATGAATCTGCCAACAAATCCTCTTTTTAGCCTTACCAAATTTATAACTCAAAATTTACATTCAGAACAATAAATAAAGTAAAATAAACTATTTTGAACGATGTAAATACTGACTTAAATTTTTTTTTAAAATTAAACAAAGACTGAAAAATTTGAAATTTCAAAAAAATTTAAAACATCAAAAAAATTAAAACTTCCTGCAATCTTTAAATTTATAGAATTTTTTTATCTAATTATATATTTTAAAACTTTTTTTATGTAAAATTTTAATAGTTTTTAAAACGTTCATTAAATGCCCAGTTTTGTTAAGTATTTAATGATTGTAGAAAAAAATACTGTAATATTCTATTTTCCATAGAAAAATAATCCATGGGGAATCAAATAATGTGTAAATATACAAAGAAAACTTCAAATATAAAAAGCATTTTAAGGTATTTCTTTCTAGAAATAATACCTTGTAGTCTGATACAAATCATAAAACTTATAAATTATTTTTAGTCTAATGTATGCAATTAAAAAATTCTAATTTTTTTTCATTTTTTTATCTTTTATAAACAAAATAGAAATCTAATTAATAGCTTTCAAACTATAAATGAGATAATTTATATCGAAAATAATTTTCCGAAGTGGTAGTAAAATGTATATTGACAAATCAATTAAAGACAAATATATTTTTTTTATATTTTGCCACAGCAAAATCACACCAACGTACTTTTATCACGCATTTATATATGCGATTGTTCTATACATCTGTAGTGGTAATCAAAATAAACGTTAATTCTATTTATTAATCCAAGAATTAAATAAATAAGTGAAAGTTTTATTATCATTTTCAATTCAAAAACAAAATCTTCCGGAAAATTCGGAAGAGTTGGAAGAATTGGAAGATTGGCGCACTGTAAAAAATGAATACTCAAATATCACGAAACTTTTTTTGTTTATGACAAAACCGTTTCCTAGTATATGCTTCAAATGAATTTCTAGTAAAAGTTATAGAATAACTATCGTCACTTCTTCAGCGAAACGAATTTCGTCAAATTTTTTTAAAAAAACTTCGTCATTCCATTTTTTGCTAAAAAAAAAAAAGAAAAGCAACACCCAAGGACTAAAGTAACTAACTTTCCAAATAATCACTTCAATGTCCTCCTTACAGTACAAGAAGGACAGATAGAACAGAGAAATAAATTACATTCATGCCCAACGAGAGATTCGAACCCGGGGTCTTCCTGGTACGAGACCAATTCCTTGACTACCATGCAAGACAGTCTATTTACTACGTTATTTTATTTCATTCTAGTTAAGTCATTCTAACTAACAATTTCCCAAAATGCACTACGATGGGGTTTTGAGTTAAAGAAGCATTTTCGTCATATATTTGAAAGTTCACTTTTCTTCTCAAATTGCGTGTTTTGTCGAAATTTCTCTCAGAATTAACAAAATATAGTTCAAGGATTGCTGAGTCGTCAAGTTTTTTTCTGAGAATACGACGGGCGCGTGAGAAAGACCCATATTTTAAACTATTTAAGAAGATATAGCCTTTTCATATGTTTAAACGTTACTAATTATTAGAAAACGTTACTGAAAATATTTTTTTCGTTTAAAGAAATTTCAATTTCTCTTATAGAACCTGGTTATCACTCTATAACTATCATTCCATTAACCTTCACAACGATTGTTATGGAATTTTAAACTAAATTTAACTGCTAAAATAAGTTGTAATTCTAATTATGTCAATTATATTTGACAGTATAATAACAGCCAATTTTAATGACGGTATACCGTTTGAAGCGTCATATGCATAACTTATCTTTATTGTAGTTACTGTTTAATAACAATATGTCGATTCCTTTTAGTACGAAATTTAGTTAATTACATCAAATTAGTAATTAAATATATTACTTTTCTGCAAATGTGTCATATATACCCAATTCGCCTTGACTAAAATGAGACGCAATTTCATTAATTTTGCTTTAAGACATTTAGCTGCATTATTTTAGCTGACTTATGATTAGATGGTTAAGACTGTCCGTCAGCTTAATGTTCGGCTTAATGCCATATGGTTAAGTCTGCCGACTAAATCATAGGCCGAAAGAAAAATCAAATCCAAATTATTGTTTGTTTGTTTGTTTGTTTAGGCTGATGTTTAGTGAAAATTAAGATTTCAGTGTCATTGTCCCCACCAAGAAACTACACTTATTAAAACTAAGTGGTATTATAGTTTATCATTTTAAATAAATTGTGTAATATGTTATGTGTAAGTAAATATATTATATTTAAAATATTTAATATTTACCACATCCATCGCTCTCTCGTCAGCTCCTAAAGCTAAAAGATATTGATAGATTTCTCCTCTATCCGGTAAAAAAGCAGCATAATGCAGAGCTGTTCGACCTTGCTGTAGATAAAACAAAATATTTTAGATGATTGAATTAAACAATATACAGGGTGTTTTATATTCACCTGCCTTAATATACATATTTCATGATTATTTTACATACGCATTAAGGGTATCCAATTAATATTTATCTTAAGGGGAAAAAAACTAAAGAAATCTAAAGGGTCACGACTGAGAAATACAAGGCTAAACGTATCAAACTCTATTTGAGTGCCGGAGGAAGTAAAGCTGAAAGGAGGCTATTAGAAACAACTCCAAGTTTTGTAAGACACTCAAACTCGTTAATTCAATTACAGTATAATTTTAATCATTATAAATTGCGAATCACAATTTTTATAATGTGAATTATTCTTTTGAGAATCTATAAAGTGAAGTGCTAAGTCTTGAATAAAAAAATATATATTGTTTGTTAATTTAGCTACCTTTTTAATTTTTGCCATGGTGAACTTCTCTGTACTGCATATCATATATACATGCATTGTTGTACATAAACTACGCACTTACATTCTTGTCGCAGTAGCAGCTATAAAGTGTGTCTACCTCTGACGAGAATCTAAAAATAAGACTCCCTTAGTGTTTCTGTTAATATTACTTCATTTTAAAAACTAATTTCTTTTCCACATTTTCAGATTATTAAAGGAATTCGCGTCTTAAAATTTAATTTGGTCATAAATCCTCAAAAATCAATGGATTTGGAAGGAAGGTCATCCGGTAGACATTTAAGCTATACCACAAGTTTCCACCAATCAATCTATTATTTACACTAACTAGCTGTTACACTGTTTTTTTGCATCACGGTTGTGATTTTAATTTGGTTGGGTTTGGCCTTGAGTGGATCTGCAGTGTCTTAATTTTACAGAAAGAGAATGTGTTTTACCGTCAGGATATGGTAGTAGTTCCTTGAAATATTGCTAATGTATGAAATAACGCCAACTTATGAAATTTAGCCACCACTTATGTTCCTTAACTGCTCTCTCGGCCTTCGATAATCGATAAGCTTTTCTTTTTTGTATAGTTTCTATATTTGCACTCGGAATCCTTTGTATATTCTCGAATACCTCCATTAGGGGTGGGTCGCCTTTACGTAGAAAAGAATTTGGTTATGAAAGAGCTCAACTTTATCCACTGGGTAAATCGCGAATTCGAATTTATAGTTTTTTTAATAACAAAGCAATAAATAGCAAATAAAAGAATTTAACAAAAGAATAAATACAATTTTTAAAAGCTTTCTATTTCTTATTCCAATTTAAGGAGAAAATTTCCCCTTTACTAGATTTCTCTGTTTCATAAGTAGTAGTATTTTCTATGTAATACGTATAAAAGAAATTTGTGATGTAATGTACAGCGCGCCAAAAAAAAACGGACCATCGTGAATAACTTTTGACCGAGGTTCGAGCGGATGACTTTAAATATGCTAATTAATTAGTGTAGACGATATTTTAAGTTACAAAATCAGACACAAAAGCGCACTTTCTCTGAATAAACATATCTTTTTTCAACGGATTCGGATTTTTGACCTCCAAAATATTAGGATATAGCCGCAATCTGGGAAAAATGTTCCTCATAGTTTAGTCAGGAGAGCGATCCAAAATTTGGAATCCTTTAATGTTAATTTTACTTTTTGCGTATTTTGCTATGTCTCGAAAACTTTTTAAGGAATTGAAAAATTTTTGAAGAATTTAAAGAATTGAACAATTTTTTACATCATTTTACAGTAAGTATTGAATTTAAAAAATGGCCTATATTTAAAATTTGATTTCTCAGGAACTATTTAACCGATTTCTCTCAAATTTCGTGTTTCACCATATAAAATTATTTACTTTAAAATGCTTGTGTAAAGGAGGCATTCGACAAGATACGAAAGATACGCAAATTTTGACGAGCTTATGTCGCACCAAAATTCATAACACTGTACTTTTAAATCGAATTAAAAAGTTACATTCTATAGTAAGACAAGGCTAGCATGCTTTCTTTTTTAACAAATGATAAGAAAAACTTTAAATGTTACATTACATGTTTGCATATTGCAAGCTACTTGGTGCACTGTTTAGTCCATAGATTTTTATGTTTAATAAAATCTGAAGAATAAACACAAAAAATATTATGTATATCAACCGACAAGTGTTGAAAAAATTAAAATAATTAATTTTAACAACTATGAAACGCTATATAAATAAAATTAATTTTGAAACAGTTTATCAATAGTTTTAAGCCATTTGCGTAATTTATTCGCAGTGGAAAATTAAATAATCTTATAATTTTTCACTACCCTATTAAAATGATTGATTTTAAAGAACAAAAACTGTCTGGGAATTTATCTAAATAATTATAAAATTATTGTAACATAATTATTATCTTCAAAACTGTTCAAACTTATTTGCTTCATTTGGTGCTAGACACTTTAGCACATTATCAATATTATTAAAGAACTGCCTCTGACTGTCATTAAAAATTTTAATTTTCCTAAATGTAATTTTCTAATAACTCATTTGCTCTTCGAAGGAATTACCAAAACTATATTTCATTAGCATTCTGATAGTAGCGAACTTTCTTAACCCTATCCCATATTTTATAAAATAAACACGTTAATGAAGGGATATTTTACTAATTTCGAGTTTCTGAGAACAGTAGAAATAGATCCTTCTATAGTTGTTTTTTTATCATAAACTCATTAATGTCAACTATAAACAAGCAAAAGATTCATGTTTATTCTTAAGAGAGATTTTTATCATTCGGAAACTTTAAATATAATTAAGTTAGTTAATTATACTTATTTGTAGTAACTTTCTGGGCAATCAGCAAATAAGTAAAGTTGAAAAAAAAACTGTGAGTAAATAAATTAGCTGAAAAATATTATGAATTTTCAACAATACTGAACTCTTACCTTTAAAACTTGACATGTTTTTCGCTGCTTTAATTTATCTCTATAGTTTATAGAAATGGTTTAAAAACTTTGATAATTTGTTTTTTAAATACTACTAAAGCACAAATGGTGAAAGCTATCAGACCACCAACTTTTAGCTCGGTGATTTTAACCACAGTCAAAACAGTGATTTGCAAAGCCTCCACTTATCACATTGACTGGGATTACAATTAAAAGCGAAATAAGTAACAACACAATTAATAGCGAAATAAGTAACAACACAATGAATTGGTGAAAAAATGTCCCCTTAGTTAAATGTGCTGTGTAAGAAACCGGTATTTTCAGTAATTCTGTTAACAAGAAAGTTATTTAATTTGAATAGGAACTTTTTTCTTTTCATATTTTTGCAATAATTCTTTAAGGTGTATTATATTGATATTTTGTATAAGTATGCTTACTTCAAAATGTTTAACAAATAGTAAACAATAAAAAAATTATTTTTACTCGTTATATTTTTTAGATTCACCATCTATATGCATTAAACTCGTTCTAGATTAATACTTTTTTAAAAGAAAAAATCAATCACTTTTATTTACCAGGCAGTTTATTTCGCTTCGAATTGACCAAATATATTCATTTTAGTATTTCCATTTTTGATTAAAAAAAATTTATCCAGAACAGCCAAACTAAATTCTGCACAGTTTAATCCAAAAAAGTAAAGGTTTCAATTGCAAGAAGATCCTGGCGTTATGCGTAAGCAATTATTCATTAACTTTCAGTTTCACATTTTCACATTTCAACTTTTTTTTCTTAAAGAAAGGTACGAGCCTAAGAACTGTCTTATTTCACTGACCTATTTAAACCTATACTTTCTATTTAGCATTTACAAAGATTTTTTAAAAAAAATGGAAAAAGATTAGTAATATTTACAATTGATTTAATCTCCCAAATGAATGTCAAACATCAACAGCATCTTCTGCTACGAGACTATGTGTAAAGCTTAGATTTCTAGTTCAAGTTTAAGTTAAAATAACTCTGTTAAGAAAGTTCATCGAATTTCTATCTGCTTGATTAAAGAATCTAAATCGTTTCTCAGAAAAATTTTAGTCCTAATAACAAGTTTTAAAAAAACTTAAAACCAAGAAGTAGAAAAGAAAATCTTTTCACTTTTGCAGAAACTATAACTGAGAGTTTATGCCGATTGCTTATTTTAAAAACTAATACTTGCTTTTCGAGACCACAAAAAAAAATTTACGCGCAAAAAATTTTGCAAAGTAAAAACTCAATGCTTCTAGAAGAAAAAACTGATTAATTAAATTTCATTCATCTAACATGGTAATTTATTTCTCAATGTTCATTAAATAAAAAGAGCAGCAAGACAAATGAATTGTAGGAAATTACATGTTTTCGCAAAATAAAAATTTTAAAAAATAGAGCAAAAGCATTAATTATTCACTTTTTGACATAATTACTGATTAAATTATGTCAAAAACCTAATCCGTGAAACCTCATTCAACTATTAATTAAGGAGAGCAACACAAATGAACGTATCTTGCAAAAAAAATTCTAATTTTTTTTCCTAACTTTCATATGGAAAAACAATCGAAAAATCTGTGCACGTCTGAAATACATACCTCTTGTCCAAATATTTTTTTTTACATTTCATGATGAATGATTATATAGCTTGATGTGAAGTAATCTTTTTTATGAAATGCTTCAAACATTGTCATATAAAAATTCTTCAAAAGATTTAAGAATTATCTTATGCAGATATGGCATTTTTTGAAAAACATATCACAATGTAGTGTACTGCATTATAATTTTGAAAGGATTCAATGATATGGATATTACAAAAAAGCTTTTACTGAGATCGAGTTCGAGTAATTGAAGTCATAAATGGTATGTATCTTGGTATGTATCATTAGAATCAGCATTTTTAGGCATGTAGATTTCATTAGTGAATGGTAATTTTAGATTCGTTTATAGCGTTCCATTAGTGAGCTGTAAGTTAAGTTATGTTAATGGCAGTAAAAATAGACGTTCCTGAAAAAAATCTTGTTTCTTTAAATTTATTAATAAAAAAATTTTAAAAATCAAAATTTTCATGTTAGAGTTCTCTTGTTTGACTAGTTCGTAT